CTTCTTTTTACGAAGTCGTTTTTATAAATATATCGTTAAAGTAAATATTAATAAGTACTATTCTTCCGGGCTTAAATACCGCTAATAGAGATAGCTCTAGATATAGCTCTAGGATTAGTCCTAAAAATAGCCTTTCGAATTCTATTATTTAATATACTAAACTCTTCGCTCCTTATTATATTCTCGTTAATTATAATTATAGTTATTTAGGTATATTAAACGCATAAATATATCTATAATCGGGGTAAATCGGAATAGATTAATATACGTATTTAAGGTCTTAATATAAATATAATTTAATCCGAAAATCTAATAAATTATTATAGATTTCTTTTAATAACGGTATTAATAATAATAGGAGTTCTTTATTAACGTTGTAGTAGTTAATCGTTAATCTATGCTCGCCTTATAGGTCGTTATTTTTTTATATAATAATAGGTTGCGCTCCCTATTCTGAAGTAATACCGTTAGCTATTACTATTAGTTTATAAAGTCTTACGTCTCGTCCTTTTTAAATTAAGCGGTTTAATTAATACTTCTCGGTTACGTTTTAACGTTTACGTTTATTAAATATTTATAGTTTTACGTCCGGCTTTAATTATAATATATATATATAGAGGTTAATTAAAAGGAAATTATTTAAAAAGCTTAAAAACAGTTCCCGGTAAGTATATATAGTCCTTTTAATATTTTTAATACTCTTTTTCGGAACTAATAGTCCTAAAATTATCGGTTTAGTATTTTATTATTTATCGATATTAGTTATAGGGATAGATTTATTTATATTTAAACGTATAATTCTTTTCGTTATTAGAAATATTAGAGTTATAATATTGACTATTAACCCGTATCCGTTCTTAATTTTTATTAAATATACTATATCGTATTTATTTATTATCGTTAATAAAGTATAAAATAGGGTAAACTCCTTTTTTTATTCGTTAGCTCTCGTAACCCTTAATGTATATAAATATAGCTAAGTATTTAAGCCGCTCTAAATATAAAAAAACCCTTTATTAAAGTCCTATCTAGATTTATCTCGCGGTATTAATATTTATATATCTACGGATAGTTATAGTTTAATAACCTATTTAGGTTAGTATTAATTTAATCGTTTTTTAAGTAGTTGTTATCCGAATCTCTATCGTTATTTATATTATTATTATTGTCGAAGTTTACGATTTTTAGTAATTTATTCCGACTAGTTAGGTCTATAATATTATTAGCGGGGTTTAAAATTAGCTTTTATAACTTAGCTAAATCTATTGCGGGCCCTTTAATTTCTATTAATATCTCTTTAATAGTTATATTATTAATAATTATCCGGGCTCCCTAGGGGTCGATTAATGCTCGGATATTAAATAACTATAGTATACTTAAGAGTAATAGAACGGATTAATTAGTATTTTAAGTACGGACGTATACTTAGATCTTTTATTTAATACTATAAATAACTATATTTATTGCTACGAAATATATTATAAAATATATTACTCCGTTAGCCGCGCCTATTTTTAAACCTTTGAATTTAATCCCGGTTAATAAATATTAAATAAAACTATACTATTTTATTAGTTTAGGTAATATAATATTTATTTTTGATCTTTAGTCTATTTATACTATATTATCGAGGATAAAATGTTTAGTAGTTATCGTTATAATAATATAATCGATATAAAACGGTCTCGTCGCTATATATCGTTTAGAAAATAGTTGAATATTAAAAGTTAGGTTATTAGTTATTATAATATAACCCGATATATTTAATATAATCTAGATAGAATATACTTTTATAACTTTGCTTTTCTTTTTATTTTTTTTAGGTCGTTTTATTATAATATATTAAGATATAGATTTTAAGGCTTTTAAGAACTCCGGGCTTAGCTATATTAGATTTAATAATAGAATATTTAATACGATTTTTTTCGTTATTTTAAGAATATTAATCGGTAAAAGGCCTTTTTGTATTATAATAAGTATTAATCTTTATCTACGTAGTTGCTTTATTAATTTAGGGTCTATTTCTATTTTTAGTAATGTTATAGGCTTAGGGGTATTAATAATATCGTTAATAGTAACCTTTTTTTTTAAATTAGCGTTAAGTAATTAGATAACTTTTAACGTCTTTTTTATTTTAAATACCTTTTAGGCGTATACTTTCGGTCTTTATAAAATAGTTTTTATTTACTATTTTTAGCTATTAAAGCTCGATATTTTAATTTATATTATTAATACGTTTAGTTTTAGTACTTTATTATTTACGTTAATAGACTTATTTAATAATACTTTTAGTATATTAACTACTTTTTTTAATAATTTTATGATTTTAGCGGATCGAACGTTTATTAATAAGCGTGCTTTTTCTATATTTATAATAGGGGGGATTATATTATCTAAGCCTTCTACCGGGGTAAACTTAAGATATCTATTTTTAATAATAACGTCTATTTTATTCTATAGGTTTCGAAGTTTATTTATTACCGTAGTAGAGCTAGTAGTTCGGGCGGTCTATTAATTAATAATTAACTATTAATATACTATATCCTGGGCGTAGTATATCTAAATTAAATATACGTCGATTATTTTATAAAGGGGGCGCTATCCTATATTAAAGCTCCTATTAAACGGGAATATTAACGCTTTAATATATACTAACTCTTAAAGTTATAACTATCGGCCTATATAGTCGGGCCGTTTATAACCCTTAGTACTATATTGAATATAAATAATATCGTTATTTTTAAAGATACGTTTTCCGCTAACGAATTCGTTAAATAAAGTCTTCCTATCTAGGAACTTAAATAAATTACTATCCTTTTTTATAAAATCCAGACCTATATTACGCCCCGCTCAATATACTCCTCTATTATTAAACTACTTAGGGGGTTAATTATAGCTTAACTACTACTAGTTATATATTGACTATTATATATAGCTTTAATTATTATTAAAGTATAGTAGAGGAGCGTTAGTATTAATTAGCTATTATTATACCTATATTTATTATTAAGGTTAGATTTACTATATTTTTTAAGTTAATTAGCCGCCCGTTAGTTATAAAATCGAGAACGGGAATGTTATCGGTTATAATTAATTTAAATAACCGAGGTAGTTAGCCGCTACCGGGTTTATTAGCTATATCTAAGCTAATTAATAAATAATAACTTAGTCAACTAACTATTTTAGATTTTATTTAGTAACGACGTCCTTTAGTATTTTAATACGTATTTTATTATAGACTTAACGGTCTTTAGCTTTTTTTTCTTTTAGTATTTATTAAGTATCTTTAACCGTATTATATACTGCTCTTAAACTATTAAATATTATTATTAATATTTATAATACCTAGCGATAGAGTCCTGCGTTAGCTAGTCCTTTTATGAATTATTTTATAACGGATATTAATACTATCTATTTTAGTATTATTAAAGTAATTTTAGTAATTAAATCTCTATAACTAACTCTATAGAGTATCGATAAAGCTTTATTATAATAAACTAGAAATACTTTATCTTTTTTTTAATATAGAGAATTAATATCTTTTATTAATAAATCGTAATTTATTATCTATACCGGGAAACGTTCTTTTAACGCGGCGTTTAGAGTTATTATATTAGTAATAATAGCTATCCCTTCTTTTACCTTTTTAATAATCGCTAATAAATATAAAATACTATTAAAATAAGTTACCGTATCCTTTTCGTACTATATATTTAGAATTTTAATATATTATAATATTAATATATTCGTTAGATCGTAATTTACCCGTTCGAAGTCCTATTTTAATTATATAAGCTATCGAGACGTAGCTACGGAGCTATTGAATATTTTATAATCTAGTATTAATATCTATAAATTTAATATTATATTAGATAGAGTTAGCTCCGGCTCGTTCTCTAAATAATTACCTATATAAAATCGGTCTATTACCGATATAATATTGTTAATTAGTTAATCTACTCTACCTAAGTTAATTTAGTATAAGTTTAAAAATACTAAAAATAGGATTAAATAGTACTGAACTAGTATTAGCTTTCGATCTTTTATTATTATTACCGATATTATTATTAATTATATACTATTTATCTATAGTATAGATAGTAGAGATCTATTTATTATATCCCGTTTAGGTATAATATACCTATAGTCGTTGTTTATCGATATTAGCTTAGATAGAGTACGAGCTTTTAATAATTAAGTTAATCCTAAACGGACTAATATAATTAATTATAACGGGGAGGGATATAAATATATTATAGTTTAATTTAAATTAATAAATTAATAAGGGGGGAAGTAGGATAATAGACGTTAATTATAAGAAGTAGGATGTCGTTCTAGTTATTATTTTATTAACGTCGGTAATAGACCGTTCTACCCCGAATCGAGCTATACTCGTATTAAATAGGCGTTAATAATTTAATAAAGTCGAAGTAATATCGTTAATAAAGGTTTTTTAATACCTTTAATAGATCTTAATAATCTTAATAATCGTTATTAATAGTTCCCTATATAGGTCGCTAGTAAGAGGCCGTATAGGTAAGGTAATATCGGGTATATAAAAAGGAGGTTAGATTACTAGCTAGGAGTTATGTGGCTCGAGGCCCATATATACATCCCGTCTAAGTCCCCCCGGAACTTCCTAATCGGTATTGTGGGTCTTCCCCATCCACACGCATAACTCTTTTTCTGCTTTCCTCTGCGCCTTGCGCCTGCTTCCGGAAATGCCGCCGCCGTCGTACAGTCCGTTCCTAGGATAAAGTTTTTCGCATCAAGCCTTCAAATGCTCGAACGGTCTACCTTTCACCGATGAAAGGCTCATGTGACTTTCTGTTCTTTCCCTACTTGGAGGAAGAAGCCGCCACCGCGCAGCGTATGGGAAGATGATGTTGGGCTTTATCGTTGGTTTCCTCCTCGGTTTCATGCCTGGCCCGTTGAAATTCGATTATTCTTTCCCTGTTTCCTGTTTCGTTTTTATTTCTTTGTCGCTACCAAGGATTAGCTCACTGGAACCATTTCTTGGTCGTGCTCTTGGCATTCGCCGCCGCAGCAGCCTTTTGATTCGTCACGCGCCGAATCTTTTCGCGGTTCCTCGCATCCAGCTGGCTCCCCGGCCCGTCATCCTGGAACCAATGCTGTTGGCTGACAGCCTGCTGCTGGGCTTGCGACGATGTCGAGGAAGAAGACGAAGAAGACGACGACAATAAGGAGCGAGTGTTGCGCGTCAAGGGTCCGCGCTCGTCAAACATCATTTTGACGCGCTGGACCTTGCGGAGCTTGACAAGGCCGTACCAGCAGACGATGAGGGAGCAGATTGTCGAGGTGATTGTGACGCCGGCGAAGCCCCAGTTAGTCTCCTCGATGAAGTTTTCGAGGTTCATGCCGTAGAGGCCCGCGAGGAAGGTTCCCATTGCTAGGCCTAGGGTGCCGACGCTGAAGCGAAGGTCTAGGAGCATGAGAGCGTTGCGGTTGGCGTCTAAGATTGCGCGTATGCTGGGTAGGTTTTCCATGTTAGTGACGTGAGTTCAGATTGCGAAGCTCTTGTGGACTGCTTGTGGAAGTAGAAAAGGGGGTGGGGACTTACATCTCCTCGGTGTTGCGGATGCCAGACACCAAGTTCTGAGCCTCCTGAACGATTTCATCGCAGAGCTTATTGTACGATTCCAGCAGCAACTCCACCTCGGTATGGTCGTCGACGCCGCGGTAGAGGTCGTGGGCCTTCTCGGTGAGGTACATGGCGGCCAGATCGTCGTCGGCCTCGAGCAGCTCCTCAATGGCGTCGCGGACCAGCTTAGCCTTTTGCTCAAAGGTGCTCACGCGCTTGGAGAGGATGAGGAGGACGCGCAGCTTGTGGCGGTCGATATCGTGCTCGAGCTCGCTGAGGACGCGGATGACGGGGTCCCGGACGGACTCGAAGTCGGCCTCGAGCTCCGACGTGACGGAGGTGAGGACGGCCTCGAGGGCGCGGAACTCGTAGGGGAGGCCGCCGACGCCGTTGCCGCCGCCGCCCTGGGCGTTCTTTTGCTTCAGCTTGCCCTGCAGGTCGTACATGAAGGCGGACTGCGGGTACGACGTCTTTGAGCCGTAGACGTCGAAGAGGAGGACGCGGTCCTTTTTGATGAGGACTTTGAGGTGGAGGAGGTTGAGGAGGATGGCGGACTGGCGGACAAAGATGTGAGGGAGATTTGACGAGTCAATCTTTCGCAAGTCGCGGGGTAGCAGGCCGTACTATAAAGCATCATATCCCTCGTCAGCGATCCAGTCTCTCATTACCAAGTTGCCCCCGTTGTGTATTCCCAAGGGAACACTTCTCTCACCTTTGCAATGAGCTCCGTCTTCTTGAACTCACCATCCACCAAGATGACCTCGCCGTTCTCGTCCACCTCTGTGCACCGCAGCCTCGGCTCGAGCGCGGCTTTGGCGGTCAGCACGCGGCGGTTGTTGAACATGGAACCCCCTTCGTCGTGGAAGGGAAGGTCGTTGGGCTTCAGCGCCTTAGCGCCGCCCCAGCTCCTGATGCCCCAGAGCTTCTCCTTCCAGGTCCGCCGACGGGGCGCCGAGGGGTCGTCACCGCAAGCATCTTTTCTTGCGCGGGTTGTGCTGAAGAAGGCGGTGGCTGTCAAGGGCGACGACGATGCTGTTGTCGCCAGTGGTTCGAGGGCTCTTGCTTTGCGGGATATCCGGGCGGCGGCGGTGGTGGTGATGTGGAGCTCGGGTCGTCTGCAGCTCGTCGTCGCCGTTGTCGCTGTCGAGAGGGATCTCGTGCCCGTCTTGGGGGTCCGTCTTGCGAGGCAAAGGGAGTTTTGAGCTGCTGGTCGAGGGGAGCCGCCCCTTCGGGAGATACAAGCGGCGGCTTCGATGCCTTGGTTCCGGCTGAAGATTGAGGCCTCCGTTTGCGACCGCAGGAATCGGAGCAGGCTCGTCGAGGGTACTCGAGTCGGCATTGCGGGAGGCATCGCGGTCGAAGGACCCTTCACCGCATACAATGTACTATGCTTCCTCGTGGAGGGCGTTGGGTTCACCTGCGCGATGGTCTACAGGGTCGGAATTGGCGACGCGAAAGCTCTCAATTGTCGTCACTCAACCAACTTTTTTTTTGGTCGTTTTACCGCGCAGCGAGTTTAAAGTTGGGACCACTGCTGCACGGTCCAGGTGATCACTGTCGGACAGTCTTTGATGTCATTCGGCACTGCCCTCGCACAGTAACAAACCCACATGGCGGAAATCTCGAGGACCCTCCAGTCACTTAATTAGCGGGTTGAGAAAAAAAAAGGCATCCGTCGAAGGGTTTTCGCGGGGAGGCAAGAATCTTTGCCATCAGTCTGGCACGTCTGCTTGGCCGCAATATTCCTCTTTGGCCTCTTTTGCGCAGTATCTCAACTGCCGAGCGCATCGTCCCTCTGAAGTCCAGACGAGGTTTGAAGTCGGAGGCACAAGGTTTTTCACTTACACCATTCTTACCTCAGCTCCAGCTCTTTCTTCAAACCATCTTCATTGATACCCCTCTCATAGAAAGGCCTATCAAGTTCGGCAATTATTTTCGACTCTCGTTTTTGAAATGAGACCACAGACATAAAGCCCGCCTGGGGATACGCGAGAGAGAGCAAACGGGGAGATAGGTGGCCGTCTGTCCATGGGCAGATCATGCAGTTGACCCCGATCAAAGTCCGAGGCAAGCGTGGCAAAGCCGCTTCCTCCAAACCACAGACCAAGGATTCATCATCATCACTGGCGAAGAAGCGGGCGTCACGCCTTTCAAGTCGTACAGTCGCCAAACGCTTCTCACTCTTTGAGCAGAACTTTCCCCTTGAAATCGCCGAGCATATCTTTATACTCAGTGAGAATCTCAATCTTCCCCGGTGTAGCCCGCGCATCGGCGCTCTGTTATCTGGGCGATCTACTCTTGTCAACATCATCATCGCCGCCTTCCACCCGACATGGGACTGCTGGTTTGGTGTCGATAAGCGAGTGATCAAGACGGCTTTGAAACAAGGCGCCGCAGACGACGCGCGAGGACTATGGCGATATGAGAGCTTCCCTGAGTTGTTCCCAGGTGATTCTGAATTTCAGGTATGACTCAATTTCACTACAGGAAAACTTCCCATCTTACTGACTTTTATGACCAGTCTTCGCTACTGAGCAGTCCATGGATCAACGTGGACATCATCTTTGAGGCTCGACAGGTCTGGGCTTGGCGATTCGCTCGCAACAGGTGGTACTCGCACTCCCATGTGGGCCTGAAAGACGAAGAAGATACAGAGCAAGATAACTCTCTCGAATCGCCTCACGACCGGATTGGCGGATTCGGTCACTTTGATTCCCGCGGCTGTTTCGAATACGACTGGCTCTCCTACGGCCTCAGCGGCTCCAAACCGGCACTCGACTTTTACGTCGATGTACACCCAAAGACGACGATCCCAGACGACATCCTAACCGGCCCGTGGACGCTCGAGCAGCAAAGGCTCCTTTTCTGGCTCCGGAGAGGCGGCGCCAAGATTCAGCCAGAAAGTCAGACTTGGGAAGTGAGTCTACATCTAGCCAAAAAGCATTGTACTTGCAGCAAGGGCAAAAGGGGGCATTACTGACACGCACACAGACTCTTCGCGTCGGCCTCCAAAATGCCGTCACGCATCGTAGTCCAGGCAAACTAGACGGCCGCCTGATCGAGATGCTCCTCCTGGTGGAAGACTACTTCCCCTCGCACGCGCTGGAAGACAACGCGTCGCTGTGGCCGCTCGAGATCCTGGAGGAGGAGCACGACAAAGTCGGCCGGCTGCTCGCGGCGAGGGCCCGCAGTACCGCGGGGCCTCTGTTTGAGCTCATTGAGCTTGAGAAGCGGATGATTGAGTACCATCGCCGTGTGGTCGATCTGCTCACATCGAGACTTAGCCGCCACCATCGATTGGCGCCGTCCTCGATCATGGCTGCTGGTCTTCTACCTCAGCCGCGGAATCATTGAATAGTACGAACGGAAAGAAACAGCCTATTCGATTTGAATGCATGGATTGGTGCTGTACATGACTTATGAACTTACAGGACTTGCATGCCTATTGTAATGTAATTTCTGGATGCATAGGCGACGAGACGTGAGACAAGACGAGGATTAGCAATACTGCTCAAGTAAGATCTTGATCCTGAGATACCAAACATAAAAAAGAAACCAGCTTTGACATGTGCCTGCTTCAAACCCGTCTTAGTGAGCAACAGGAAGATCCGTTGCCTTCACGCCCCGATAACCTATCTCTATCGCCATTGTTTCTCACTTGCGCTACCCTTTCTTAGCCGATTCTCTCGAAGCTTTTTATTAAATGCACCCCGGGGGGCCTAGGAAGGTAGTAGTGAGGCTGGTATCAATAAGGAAGTGCTTGATTGTGTATTACAACTACGTCGTTGGTCTGGTACCAAGAAGAAACCGCTTGCTGGTGAAAGCACGCGCAAGGGCACAGACAATCAATGTGTTTATTGGGATGTAAAATGAGACGGGAAGGATGTGCTGTGGAGTTATAAAATTCTGCTCCTAAGTCAGATGCCTGCGGACGTTGCCGTGGAGCTGCCATTGGAGGTTTTGCATTAGTCGAGAAGTGTGGGGAAAGGCTACTTAGGACCGCTGTGGCTAACGGATGCCAACACCGAGCGGAGCAATAGTTCCGATCCTCCCCTTGGTGTAGTTGGTTCATCACGTTCGACTGTAATGGTTACATTGTCATCGAAAGGTCTCTAGTTCGATTCTGGAAGGGGAGAACTGCTCAATCTTTTGCATTTTGGGGATGTCTTTCTTTTTGGAATTGAAGTAGAATTGCTTCTGAAACAGGTAATTTTGTTGTTTGTCTGTTGGGGGCTCAGAGTAGGCGGGGGCGCCGGAACGTTGTGAACATCTCCCGGCTGCGGGAGCTGGACGTCTGTTCTCGCAATGCTGTAGGTTTACAATGGTAAACCAGCCAGTTGGTGCAAGCATTTTGGACAAAAGTTTCAACCCAAGAAAGAAGAGTTCCATATTGCCCTGGTTTTTTCCTCGAGTCAATCTCATTTCAAGTTCTTTGGGAAACCCTCGTTGAATGAGGTAATTTTCAATTTTCTTTACTTTTTAAGATAGAAGGCGTGTGACTTCTTCTTCACTCTACAGTTGTCTGAACAAGATTCCTTTCGTACAGGAGACATATTTTAGACAGGCAATGGTATCTGGCGTGTTTCTTCTGCTTGATTAAATGTGAGAGATCAGTCGAGTAAATACTATACGAAGATCGGTGTACAGACAACCGTTCCCCAATACTTCAAGCAACGAAAAGCCGAGACACTTGAAGGGTCCCAAGAAGGTGCGCCATCATCCTCTTGAGTGCTTCATTTTGACCCTAAAGCACAAAGTTCAAGACCGGCTGGCTGAGAACTAATGACCTCGAGGAAACTTGTCCATTTGGAAGAAGCGAGCAAGTCGATTGAGAAGTGACTCCGGGATAGAATGGTTCTTCAAAATCTTGTCGCATTGAGAAGACGTAAGATAGACTTGAACGTGCCTTGCCAGGCTCGCTGCCCTTACTCGATACTTACACATACCGTCAACTTCAACGTTTGATGTTGATCAAGAGCATACTCGAGCTCGTACACCAACCTTCCCGCTCACCCGGTACCCGGCATCTCAGCCCATCCAACTCCATATTCCAAAGGGCCCGCGCAAACGACATGACATCGACGATTCATCAAAACATCCCCATCCATCCTCTAGCAACTCCATCAAATATCTCCACATCTTCCAAGATCCCAAAGTACACCACACACTCCCAAACTGCCGGATCTCTCGGTGTCTCCCGTCCCACAATACCCGGCCAGCGGGGTTCGAACACATCGGCGAACACATACGGATAACCACATCGCATAGCATAGGTCCCTCCGGCATCCACGCCGCACGCACCAAGGCATCATGCTCTCTTTTCCCGTCCAGCCTTGACCCCGAAATTACCTTACTGAAGAGTAAGATGTTGGATAACCCCTCTTCCCTCGGCGAGCTGAATCGGGCAGGCCGACTGTCATGCCTTCCCCCCTCCCCTCTCCTATTCAAGCACTCCCGTCACAGGAACAGAGATGTAGGAAGTCATAACACACTTCCATGGGCGCTGACCGAGTGAGCAAGACGGCCAGACAAGAATGGGAGGACCACCGCACCGCACCGGGATATCCGGATCAGAAAACCCCAAAAAGTCGCCGACTGCGAAGGCGTCACTTACACCGATGACTGGTCTTCCCCCGAAAACTCCTCAGTCCCTCGCCTCGGCGTCCCAGATCGAGTGTAGTGGACATCTGACGCCCTTTCACTTCGACTGCATGACTTTCCCCAGATCAAAATCAACACACCCTCGGAAACTTTTCCGGAAATCAGCACGGCCTGTATCCTCGCCGCTTTTGATAGGAAGGCGGATAGGACGGGCCCACGGGTCCAGGCAGCCGAGCAAAACGT